GTGATCGAATTTGCTTGAAAACCTCAAATTGAAAATCCTCGTTTAGCCAATCTCACTCAAAACAAAAATGACGGGTTCAAAATTTGAGAAATTTTTTCGGCAACAGGAAGTCGTTTGGGACGTCTGCCTGTCTTCTGAAAAAGTAAGAAAAGCGTTTAGGGTACTCTACTATCACTACTCTACACGATTTGCGGAAAGTTTGAAACGGAAGCGAAAAGTTCTCATTACTTTTGACTCAACCTATCAGATGAAATGTTGAGACTCTCATACTGAGCGCTTTCAACTTTTATTAGATCATGGCCAAAAACTTCATAGCTTCGCTCTAATTAGCCACTTAACAATTTTGAGAGAATATTGAGAACTCATCTTTTATGAATCGCAGGCATTCGAATGAAACATAACTTACATCTACTGTACTTTTGACAACCACAAAATCACAAAAATCACAAAATTCTGAGTTCACATTCTGAATAATTGCAATCAAGGCATACCATATCATGGTACATGCAGATTGTTCACTTCATTGCTGTCTTCTCAAACTATCCCTTTCAGCATGAACTTCCTCCGTTGGGAAGCCCGGAGAGCCTGGAATTTGAGGAGTTTGAGAACAAAAAGCACACTACAGTTGTAAGGAAAACATTGAATAGAATACCACAGGAATTTCACTTGTGATCCAGCGTATAAATACCTATATTTAGGTGTCCACTACTGTCAAAGAAGTTGAAAGCAACAAAGCTGTTGAAGTTGTTGACGACAGTAAGGATGATGAAGATGATGACAACGATGAACACGATAAAGACGATGAAAAAGATAATAAGGATGATGAAAATGATAACGACAATAAGGATGATGAATATGATGACAACGATGAATATTATGAAGACCATGAAAAAGATAATAAGGATGTTGAATATGATGACGACAATAAGGATGATGAAGATGATGACAAGGATAAACATGATGAAGACGATGGAAACGATCAGGACCATGAGGATGACGATGACGAAAACGCTGAAAATAAAGATGACCAAGCCGAAGAAAACGAAAGTCTGGTAAGCAATCAGTGCGCTTCTTATATACCCTTTAATTCGACGGG